TACAAAAGACATTAGAAATAATTTTGAAAATGTGGTTTATGTAGTCAACAGCAAGAAAATTAAAATGCAACCATATTGATGATAATATTGAAGATCAATATTCTAATCAAATTATTTCAAATTGCAGACACTGTCAAATTGGATAAAAGAGGCAATATCCAACTACTTTTTGCCTCAAAGAAACAAATTTTAAGAGTTGGGAATATAGCTCATTGGTAGATCACTTGCCTACCATACAAGAAGCTCGGAGTTTCATCTCTAAATGCGCACACTCATACAGAGAGAGAGAGAGAGAGAGAGAGAGAGAGAGAGAACACATATGTGAAAGAAAGAAAGGGAAGAAAGAAGAACAGATTAGAAAAAGAACATGAGATAAACTCAATTCAAATGCCTTTGTGACAAAAAAACAATAAAACATCACTAGCTCTAACTAGGCTTGTGGTCTGACTTGGAAATGAAATAATAAGATAATTAAATTTAACTCATTACCTAATGGTGTAATAATGATAAGAAACTATGATGTAGTGTTTCTGTGCACACAGGAGGGAATGCTGTTGTCCAAAGAAATTTAGTGACTGCTTTCATGAAGAAAGAACCATCCACATTAGGCTTAATAAGAGATGGAGTTATAAAGCATTGCACGTTCTGGAGGCTGGTTTTAGAATAAAGCATGAACAAAGACATTGAGGTAGAAGGGTGGAAGGCATCCCTATAACCAAAGAGAATTCCACTTGAATTATATTGTGGAAGACATAACTGGAGAGGTATATTATGCTGAAATATTCTTAAGATCCAATTTAGGCAATACCTATTGGTTTGTAGTACTACATTACCTGTAGCATTTTAGGAAATACTTTTGATATAATGAGATGGAATTATATTTAATTTACACTAGCTGAAGTTTATCTCTTCTCTTTTCCTCCAATATCCATGTGATAGTTTTGGAAAATAATATATTCACTTAATCAATGTGTCCCTGATGTTAAAAATACAATCCTTTTTCTTCCTTAATCAGCTTACATAGTTAGTGAGCATAGAATTGCTTTTCAAATTCTGAAAGACTAAATCATAAAAAAAAAACGAGTAGTTTCTTGGAATTAACACTTTCAAATTTATAGAGACCACAGTATAACTTATCTCAGAATGTCTACAGAGATTTAACTTCTGCTGGTAAAGTCAATCATACTGGATAAAATTAGCAAGCTAGGTAGCTATAGATAACAAACATATATCACTATACAAGATGAATCTGGAATCAAGAAAAAAAGAAGGTCTGGGAAATTCATTCAAAACTTGAGGAGTATAAAGAAAAGAAGTATATCAGAGATAGATAGATTCCTGGCCCTGGTTTTGCCAATCATCCTTATTTTCCCAGAGGGAGTATCCCAAATAAATTGCAATGCTCTTCACACTTATTTTAAACTCAGCCTGGAATCTTCTTAGAAGGGAGACCTATTTTACCCTCTTTGAGGGTAACAGCACATGTGTGAGACTTCCAACTCCAGTGTTTGGTGACATAGATACCCTATTGATCTTTCAACTGGAAACGAGAAGAGAAAAGAAAATATAATAAATACCCCCTGAAACAAATATAAAGTAGTAGCCAAAACAATCAAAAAACCCAATTAAGAATAATTTTAAATATATCATTAAATCTGTGCAAAGTTAATGAATTCACAGAACCTAAATACAAAGAGAAAACTAGAAACCAGAGAGGTAAACCAAGCTTAAAGACCTTGTTATTTCCATGAGGCTGGAGTTGTAGCTCGGTGGTAGAGCACTTGCCTAGAACATATGAGGCACTGGGTTTGATCCTCAGCACTACATACAAATAAATAAATAAGGCATGTGTCCATCTACAACTAAAAAAAAAAAAAAAATTAAAAACAGAGGGAGACCTTGTTTTCTCCAAGTGGTAATGACGTTGGCGTCATGCTGGGAAGGCTTTTTCATTAGATGGGTACACAGAATGCATGCCCCACACATGGGTTAAAGCAGACCCTGAATAAGGCCAGACTCCAAAAAAATAATTTTAACATACACAAAAGATATCAGTCAAAATGTTTTTGTTGTTCTTCTTGCCATGAGCTTATCAAAACTAAAAACAAATAATTGATCTTAATTAAAAATTTGAGCCATACATCTACACTTGGGTTTGCAGTCTCAAAACACCATATAATATAAAAATACAATTCCCATTAATAAAATTCCAAGAAAGACAAACTCACACAAAAACAAACAAAGTAATGAATACTCAAGGCTCTGTTTTCAGAGCTGAGGAGACTCCCTATGTATTAAGAGTGACTCTAGAAGAAATGGAAAAATTGCGATAATCCTTTAATGACCAAATAAATTTTTTTAAATAATTAAAAATTTCCAGCAAAGAAAGCAATAGTCCAGGATACTTTTAAAATCTAATTAAAATTTTAAACAAGTTTTCCAAAGAATGGAAAAAACTAGAACATTACTTCCCAGCATAGTCTATGAGTTTACAATAACTCCATTTGTACTAAAATAAAACAAACATAGTCCAAAAGGAAAAAAAAACCCACAAAAACAAACTCAAGGTCTATTAAGTCTTAAGGCTAACAATTTCATTTGTATGCTCAGAAAGCCAACTTTATCTAATAATTTAGTCAAAGTATTCACTTCTTTTTAGTTGAAATAGTTTTTCCATTTAAAATAAATTCATTAATGTTTATATTTGCATTCTATGTCAGCCTGCATGTTTAAGTTGCCAGTATTAACTGCCCTAAGGTTCATCAATACCTGCCTAGTGACTGGGAGATACAATGCAAGATTTTGAACTTCCAAATCTTAGATTGAAATCTTTGTTCCTCTCAATTATTATAAACTAAAAATCCAAATTTCTGAGCAGATGTAGAGGATCCTCTAAAGTCTTTACCCAATTCCCCTATGATTCTTTCTATCACTCCCCTATGTAAGCCTTATTTATAGCCCATTACTTTATTTTATGTCCTGCCCAATGCCTCATAGTGACAATGTATTTGCATCAGAAGTTTCCCCCTCACCTCCTGTGTTCTGCCCGATTTTCGCCAACATAGTTCATATTCTCAATAGACATTTCACAGCCTTCTGAATGGCCTTTAATTTCCATGAAGGTTCAAATAGCTCATTTTGTCCTTTATGTTTATTTATGTGTGTAGTAAATGAAGTCCTGACTCCCTTGTAAATTACATATACCAGGACTATCAGTGAGTAAAATTCTCTTCACTGTCTATGCCTTTTTTTTTTTTTGGTGGCAAAAACATGAAGATTTACCATCTAAGCTACTTCTAAGCACAGTACAGAAGCATCAAGTACATTCACATAAACCTATTAAATGGATCTGCAGATTTTTTCATCTTGCAAATTGAAACTGTGGACCCATTAAAAAAAATCTGTCTTTTCCCCTTTCCCCTAACCACTGACAAATGCCATTCCACTCTGCCTCAATAAACTTGATGACTCTAGATATTTCATATACTTGGATTCATTTGTACTCATCTTTCTGTGACTTGCTCTTTTTACCTAGCACAGTGTCCTGAGGATCATCAGTGCTGTCTCATGTGACTGGGTTACACTATATGCCTCTTCTGATGTAGCTAGAATTTCCATTTCTTTGGAATGACCACCTTCTTATATGTTTTCACTTTTTTACTATCATGCTTATCATTACTGATTTGTTCTCATTTCATTTGTTTGCAGTTATGTTTTCAGGTAGTACTATACACAAAATATTTTCATTGACCCATTGACTATGACTGACAACAAAATTAGAATTTATAAATGTACTGCAGGCATCTGAAGGGGGGGCAGTATGGTAGTGATCTGTGCTAATTCATGTTTGACTCATTTGTTAAGTGGGCTTTTTTATGCACCTACCTGTCAGTATATAACACTAAAATTTATAGTCCAGTAAAATCAGCAGTTATTTCAAGTCATTGATTTCCAGGTTTACATATGAAAAGTAGAAATATGTTTATATCCATGAACACAAGAATTCATCTCTAAACTAAATTAATTCAAGGGCCCCTCCCTGTCATTTTACTATCCTGATAGCATATTGGCTAGAAAGGTGCATAAAACAAGTGCTCCACAAATATCTATTGAAGTCAGTGCAGGAACTATGGTGAATGATAGTAATCCCAGCTAATGGGGAGGCTGAAGCAGGAGAATCACAATTTTAAGGCCAGCCTTGCAAGTTAAAGCCCAGCTCCAGCCTTAATAACTTAGTGAGACCCTGTCTCAAAATTAAAAAAAGTAAATATAAAGTGCTGGGGATATAACTCAATGATAAAGCACCACTGAGTTTAATCCCCAGTAACCAAAAAAGAAAAAACAGTATACACACACACACACACACACACACACATACATGTATATGTAGTAAATATCTTCCAGAGAACATAGAACAAATTATTATATTAGTTTCTAGGCCTCTGCCAATCTTTCTTAAGGATGTGGTACTTGGTGTTCCTACGGTGGAGAATATATAGCAGCAAGAGATTGGGTTGACTGGTTTCCTATCCTTATTAAGGTATTGGCTTAAATGTCATCTTAATAGAGGGCCCTTTCCTGACCAATGTATTAGCATTAGACATTTCTGAAGTACCCTTTTAACCATATTTTTTTTCCTCATGAGACTCCTTACTATATGCAATTATGTTTACCAACGGTTTACTGTTTCCCCTCTCTAGATGAAAATTTGGTCTTTCTCCCATTGCTGCTCTAACACCAGGCACCAACTAGATTCTCAACAACAACAACAACAACAACAAAAACTGCTAAATTAATAAATAATTAATGTATTCTGTATGAACCAGGGCAGTTTTTCTCAGGGAAAATACAAAAAAAACTAAACTATAATGAAGACTATAAATATATATGTATATATATATATATATATATATATATATATATATATATATATATTTACAAACATAGACAATAAGTGTATGTATGAGAGTATAGATAGATGTGATATTTGTATCACTTACCTTCCCAAAAATGCTTAATCTTTTGGGGTCAATGTATGGCAGTTTCAGTAAAAATCTGCAATGATAAAGAAAAAAAATATATAGTTTATCTTGAGTCAAATGTACATGTGAATGAAGTTACACTGAACACATACACAAACACAAACACAACCATGAGATTTACTGACTAGTTCCATTCATGTGGAAGGGATATATATTCAAAAATCTTGCTTCTCAAAGTGGTGGTCTAGCAGTTTTGTATCACCCAGAAGCATGTTCTAAATGCAGAATCTTCAGCTGCATTTCAGGCCTACTGGGTAAACTTGTCCATTTTCAAAATACCTTCACTGAATTCTGTGTACTGTGCTAAACAACCTATGAATTTCCTGAAGTCACTTTTTCATTCAAGTGTAAAAATAGTCAATAAAAAGTATTTAAAGTATTGTAACTAACTGGGCAAATAACACACATTATGGAATATTATAAATAAATAATATAGTGATGTAATGTCCCTTCCATTTTCATAAATCCAAAGTAAATTCTAATTCTAGATGAGAAATATAATAATACTTTTATTATAGCACTAAGGGTGTTAGGTACTTGAAAAAATGTACTACAGATATATTCTTAACTGAGAAAATTGCCCAATAAATAAATTAGAAACCTCTCAGTCAGTGGGTAATAGTATGTGTAATATACCTATATTGTCCTAATTACAGCAACTACAATAGAAAAATTTGCCTCCACTTACTTCACAGCTGCTATTTGGTCCTTTACTTCTACTGATCCTAATCTTCGATGAATCTCCTGTAAAATTTTGAGGCCCTGGAATCCACTTCCTCTGCCATCAAATCTTGCTATAATCACATTATCCGTATCAATAAGGACAGAATCCCAGTCTATGTGGAACTTATCTGTAACCAGTTGGCCTCCTGGTTCTTCATCCCTGAAAATGGCAACATATTGGATCAACATGGGAGTGATTGATAATCTGGGAAAAATTTTAGCTTTCATGCTTACAAGTCAATAAGAGTTATGGAAAAGGCCTGTATTGGCTACTAATTTTTTTTTGATAAATATTGATGATAAATCTGAAGGTAAAAAGAATCATTTTCCTTTGTAAAGTTTTAAATGAATAATTCTCTGAATGACGTGAAAGTATGAAGAAAAATGCATAGTGATTTCTATAGATATTTCTAAAGAATGATTGGCATGTTGACAAGTCTGTCTTCACTGTATTTCTTCAAATGTGTTTTAGAAATGTCTTTCAGGTGGTTCGTAAGGGTTGAAGGGTCTGAGAGAGAACAGAACCAATTAGGGAAACCATACCAATTTAACAGGAAAACTACCACCCTAAAGAATGTCAGACTCAAAAAGAAATACTGCATTCAAGTTTCCTGGGCCTCTCTCTTGGTGGTGGAATTCCCATAAGAATTCAACAGAGAGAAAAATTGTTCTTCAACACTGAGGTTGACAGCAAGGAAAGGGAAACAGACTCACAGATGTTTGAAAAATCTGAAAGCTAGATGTAAAGAAGGACATCCAAATTATGAAGCATGAACTTTCTCTCTAGAGGAAAAATGTGGGTACAAATTTTTAAACATCCGCCTTAAATGATGTTTTATTCTTTCATTTTCTAGAATACAGAAAAGCTAAAACACAAACTGTCATAAAATCACACAGATTATCTAGGTCCAAATCCAGGTACAGTTCAAACAAGTAGTCAGTTGTCTATGTGATAGTTATGAAGAACATAAAGACACCAAACTGAAAAAAAAAATCATTGTTAGTGGAGTCACACAACAGAAATCCCAACCCCATTTACTCTCCAAGGAAAAGACAGCAAACTCCTGCCTTCATGTTCATGCAAATATTTATCTAGAGGCACCAGTTCACAAAGCAATCCTCATTAGCAAACATTTGGGTTATAAAGTTTACTAAAGTAAATAACCTCTCAGGAAGATATGGAAGTGAGCAGATAAAGAGACTATATGGAAGTCATGAGATTGGCAAAGGAGGAAATAGGGGGGAAGATGGGACCTTATTGCAAGCTGTTATGGGTCGACTTGTGTTCCCCCCAAATTCATGTTAAATCTTTGCCCCCAGTAATTCAGAATGTGGTTTTATTTAGAAATAGGGTCATTTAAGGGACAAAGGTAAAATGAGACCATTATCCTGGGCTCTGATCCAATCTGACAGTTGCCCTTGTTTGAAGTGGAAATTTGTACCCCAAAGGGACCCAAAAGATGTACTGGCAGAGACACTGCCTGTGCATAGGCAGCAAGGTGTGACCATCTGCAAAACCCAGAGGAGAAGCTTCAGAGGAAACCAACCCTGAAGAACCTTGATCTTGACATCCGGCCTCCAGAACTGAAAATTAATTTCTCTTCTTTAAGATACCCAGTCAGTACTATTGATTTACTTATGTTAACCCTAGAAAACTAATACAAATATCTTTTGTGATCTAAGCAGAAAATATCTTATTTATCTGATCAGAAAATATGTTTTCTGATTTAAGCTTAAAAGTCTTTAATTCTTTACACTTCCAAAATTTAATTAACCTTTTAGAGGAAGAAGTTGTCTGTTACATAACTTATTACATTTATAAATAAGGGAACATTATTAAAAATATAACATGTAAGTTATTCAATCAAGACTCCCTCCATTTCTTCCTAAATCTCACATTTAACAGTGATCTTGTGACTGAAATCTGGATCTACCTTGTCCTTCCCCAAAATTTACATACTTAGCCTTCTAAAAATTTTTGCATTTTATTTTTTATATTAATTTTTGAACCTTATTTTCTGATCATAAACCTGGGAATTAGCTACTGTACATATCCATGTGTCCTAACCTAGAATTCTAATTGCCTCATTAACAATTAAGTCTGTTTTATTTCTTGTTCCCAGGTGATACTGATATAGTTTGAGTAGCATGTGAGGACTGGTATAAATCATTATGCATAGTACCATTTCTGCTTTATGGAGAACACAGCCAAAACTTGTTGAACTAGACCTTTTCAGGAAAAATAGACTCACCTGAAGTTTAAAATGAAAAGACTTTAAAACATTGAGTTGACATAAAGATACTGTATTTTGAAACTTTGGGATTTACTGCAAATATTATGATTCACAGAGGAAAAGATACAAAAGGTTGACTTCAACCTTTAATATTTAACTGTAAAAATACCAAAGTTTGAGTCTCAACTTCACTTTGAACATAGGCAAGAACATAGGCAAGATAGCTCTAAGACCCTGTTTCTCTATAAATATATAGTGGTAAAATACTAACCTGTGTCCCTCAAAGAGATAATCGTAGGCATTAAATGACACAATGTATTTGAAAATGCTAAATGAAGTACAATGAGCAAATCCATTATGGGGTACATTGAACAATACAAAGTGTTTTTATTATTTTATTTTGAGCTTATGTTGAGCTATTTACTTACTTTCCAAAGTAGAGTAGAAAAGGGTTTTGACTAGTCATACAGAGATTAAACTGGGCAATATCTATAGATAAAACACAATTGCAAAGTTGAATGAGCTATTATGTCATTGGGACTTCCATTTTTCTAGATAGACCAATGATAGCTAAAGCCTTATAAGAAAATATTCTGCTTTTAAGTTAGGACTGTCCAGATTGGACTCTGGTAGCAGTATTAAGATAGCATAAAATGTTTCATTAATTTGGAAGATGTAATTTTCCAAGTTACATGAAATTAATTGCATTGTTCATAGCTATTTTAGGAGTTCTCACCTAAATTTAGCCAACGTGAAAAATCAGACATTTTATGGCAGACATACAAATTATTTTAAAATAGTCTAAAATATGACATGTTTCAAAATTATAATCAGTAAATAACTACACATTTTTCAAAACAAAAACATTCAGTCTAAGACTCATGTTTGCAACACCCACAGTTAAAAATACTATTTCTCTCCATTAATCTCTTTTCTAAATTGACATTTTTAGCTTCAGTGTTGTATTTCTAGCTTTGTAATGTTAAATGGCGAATTGTATTGATATATTATGCATCAAATATCTTGAATTCATTTCTTTAATTGGATGTGTTGTTCATTCATTTTTGGTGCATAATGTAGGTATAGATATTTTTCAAAAAGTTAAAAGAACATGGATTTTGGTGTTAATCACTGTCATTACAAGGAACAAGCCAGGCGCTTGGAGGAGTATAGTGGAGGTTAATTGTTTGTAAATAAATCCAAAGCAAAGAGTACTCATTCAGCAAGGAGGTACTGCAAAATATGTGGTGGCAGGAATAATCGCAGGGAATGTAATCATCCACCATATAGTGAATAGATCACACAACTCAAGGGTATATTGAGCTCCAACTGTCTTTTCTTTTCTCTCTTTTTTTTATGTATGTCTTTCTTATTTTTCTTACACAATCCTTTGTTTTAACCCTCCATCTTAGAAGTCTCTGGGAACCCATAGAGAGGGGATTGTTTCAAGATTAAGGTTGGTGATATACAAATTTGTTGAAATTTGTGAAAAACAGAATAAATTCCATCTGTTTTAAGGAGTGGAAAGATCACAGAAATATGAAACCTGTTTATTTCCTAACACAATCAGCAGAATCAAATTCAGGCAAAAGTCTTTTTTAGAAGTTCAATTCTTCAAGGGCAGAATTCTCATCTACTTCAATATCTGCAACACTGGATGTGTCAGAGTGGATGAAGAGTTCACAATACAAGGATGTAATAAAATACAGAAGCACAAACAAAACAAACAACATCCCAGAAATCTTGAAATTGACAGAATAAGACACCTTTTTATGACATGAGTACATTACTTATACCAACAGTAAATTTAAAAACAGATCAGGTTCATGAAGTGGCATTTAAGTGAAAATAGGGTTAAAGTTACATTCAGAAGACAAAGGTCTTGGTCCTTGACTTTGCTACCAATCCTGCTGGGTTACCTTAAACAATTCTGTGCTTTTAAAATTTTTATTCTCTGTTTCTATTATTAAATATTTAGTAAATAGTTAAAATCACAAATAACAAGGATAGTAGATTTTGTTGTTTCTTCTTCTTTGTGAAACAGTATCTCACTAAATTTTTCAGGCTGGCCTTAAATTTGCAATCCTCCTGCTTCGGCTTCCTGAGTAGGTGGGATTAAAGGCAGGCACCACCATACATGGGGCTTTATTTTTATTTTTTGATTGACATATTATTTGTAAGTACAGTACATTAAAAACAACAACAACAACAAAGACTTTTCCTTATCAGTAAAAGTTTGGTTGCAATAAATGGAAGAAAGTATACTATTTTCTAATACAAGCAATTTCTATGAATGGTCCACTGTGTGGCAGAATTTTAACACTGCTTTTCTGTTAGCTGCATATCTGTGTTGAACCTACTGGGGAAGTGGAAGAAGGAGACATAGAAAGAATTGCTTATAGTCATATATCATTTTTTGTTCTCTTTAGCCTAACATAGATTGACTCTGCTGCATGAGGGTTCTGTGAAGAGACAGATTTATTGAGAAACAGGTATTACTATTTTAACTCTAGATAAAATAAGTATAAAAGTAAAAGTAAAGAATGGAAATGGAGATCAATGAAAAGAAAGAAAATGGATCTGTCAAAGAGCCACATCCCACTAAATTACAAAAAAAAAGTCAATTGTCAATGCTTCTGACTTTGTCATTTAGGAGAAAATTTATTTTATGGTAGTCCATGAATTTTCAATGGTAGGGTAGTTTTAAACAATGTATTTCTTGCTTTAAGTCTAAAGTTTCCTTCATAGGATTTTATAATAAGTGATGATTTAGCTGATACACACACACACACACACACACACACACACACACACACACACACACACATATATATACATATATATATATCTGAAGTCTAAAGAAGTTTGCCTTATTTCAAATAATATATATGTGCATATATTCGCATTGGATAAGGACCTCTTGGGT